GGGAGCTAGAATCAAACTTCATATCCCAATATCCCCAACTGTTTGATTGAGAGTGAGAGAGACAAATTGAGGACCAAATTCTTTAAGAGGGGAAGAGTTGTAATACCCAAATTAATTTTAATGTAATTTAAATTAATTTATAAATATAATTTTTTAAATTTTTTTTTAATTTTAATTTAGTATAAAAATGAAATAAATTTGATAGATGATGAAATTAAAAATAATTTTGGGAAAAATGGGTTAAAATTTAGGTTGTGGAAATATTTTTGAAAGAAAATTTAGAAATTGAGGGTTAAAACACAATTTAAAAAAATTATACCACGTAGGACGCCCAGTCAATAGCTCCGACGAACCGAAGCGCGTCGTGTTGCAAGGGACGCTGACACGGTGCCACGCAGGCGATCCAGTGCCCGTGATATGACGTTCCATATTCGCTCCCGCGCGTAAATTATGATCTGTGTTATGTTATTGTCTCTACAAATTGTTTTGTAAATCTCGCTGCGGTAAGTATATGGTAAAAGATTTTGTTTATGATAAATGAATTTGCTTAATTAAGAGCTCTATTAGTTATTTTGATTTTTCTACCAACCTTCATTTATGTGTTGGTGAGTAGCATTATATTTTTACTGAATTAATGTACCTCATTCTTTATTTAACCATTTCAGATCAAGAGGATTAGGATTCAGAGCCCGATCCACAAAATAATTGCGAGTAGAATGCCAGTTTTATTTATTTTTCGTTTGTTTCATTAATTTTTTGTATTTCCTTCAAAAAGGCAATTTTCGTAATACTATTTAGTACTTTAAGTTATTGTGTAAGAAATGTAAACCCCAACTAATTATTTTGTTTCTGTACTTAATTTATGATTTATTTCTTTTAAAATTCCGGAATTGCTACATAAAAAGTTTCATTAGAGTTGACAAAGTAAATATGTTATTTAAGTTAATTTTTATGTAATATTATCTTTTAAACCGACTTAAATTTTTATTACAATTGATTAGAGATTAAAAGAGAAACTTAAAAAGTTGCCATCAAGTGACCTGACCATGTGGTACATAAGTAAACTGAAATCTAGTGTTGGATGCTCATTTAAAACAAAATAAAAAAGTAAAGTTTATTAGAATAATTGTATAAAAATAAATAGTATATGAGACAATTAAATATTTATGTTAATTAAAATCATACATAACATAATTCTTGACGTTCTTGCAATACCATCTAACGACTTTGTTATATTTCAATAAATATCTTATTAAATCATGAAAAAAAATTTTAATTTAACTCGTGATATATTTTTTCATAAATTATAAATCAATTCTACCTTGCATTCACTGTCGTGGAAAGAAATAAAGTTATTAAAAAATTTGTAATATTTTTTATATAATGTAAATCTCTTACCATTTCAATGAATTTTTAAAAGTATAAAGTATGTATCGTAAAAAAAAAAAAACCTCTCTTTTTGTCCCTTTATCATTCGACACTCAAACTAACTCGAGCATCGAATCTTTTTGACGAGAATCAATCCCGATCTTGCTTGTTTTGGAGTCGAAAATCAAACCATAACAATTTTATTTTTATGATCAGTAAACATTAGAGGGTAAAAAAGTTAGAAAATGTTTGTACGTCTTCTGGAAAATCAAAATGTGGAACTAATATGCTACTACTACATTAATATTCAATTCAACTCCTTTTGATTTTTCTTGATGAAACAAGCAGCGTAAATGAATGCCAGGGGAATTAATCAAAGCTGCGTTTTATATATAAAAAATTTTCAGTTTGCGCGTTTTAGACGAGAGGATAAAAATAAAAATGGGAGAGAATTTTGACTGCCTCAACCTTTCGTCAAAATCCCACGGAAAGAAAACCAAACGTCTACAGGACACGTGTCAATTCATTACCTTTTGTTCCTTTTAGATTGCACCAAATCCACGTTTTTTTCTTGGGTTACGTTAACACTTCTCTCACTCTGAGCCGTCACTGACGTCAAATTTAACGGAATCACGGCCGCCCATCTAGAAACCCGTAACCGAACTAGTGCAGATAACCGCTGACCTCTCTCTCTAACGCCTCAATTCTACTTTTCGCCAAGTCCCTCGTTCGGACCCCTTCTCTCTCTCTCTCTCTCTCTCTCTCTCCCTCTCTTCCCCACAGCAAAAAACTCGTTTCACTTCACAAAGTTTAATTTCTTTTGTCCTTCAGTTTCTCGGTAGCCAAACAGACGCCGGGGCTCCTGATGGCGGCAGAAAGTGGAGATGAGAAAAGCTGGGAAGATACGCTGAGGAAAATGCTACCGGCCGGTGCGCCGTTACCAGACGAAGAGCAGCTTGATTACTCCATTGCTGTGGAGTACGAAGGTCCGCCCGTGCCCTACGAGGTCCCCACGGTCGATCCACTGGAATTGGACTCTCTTTCCATTCGTACCTCCTCCATGGTTTCTGTGTCCGATATTCCTTCCTCGATTCCCGTTGCCGCGCCCATTGTCTGTAGGGTCTCGAGGTTTAGTCCTGTCAATAATGGATGTCCAGTTAGAGGTTCGCGTTGTACTCCCGTTTGGAGAGCTCAGTCTGACTTGTCAAAGCAGGGAAATTGTGTAATCGGGGGTGGGTTGGAAGAGGAACCGATCTCTTCAGCTGCCGAATCGGCTCCAAACCCTTCTGCTTTGGCTTTTGATGAGGACAAGAGGACGAACGTTGTGACATTCAGGACGCCGAGGGATTCAGAGTCCGAAGATGACGGATACTCTTCATCGGCAGCGCTATCGAGTGATGCTATTGGATCGCCAGTGGCGCCTCAGAGGAGTGGAGAAGAAAACGAATCAAAGAAGAAGAAGACCAAGAAGAAGATACGAGGAGTGTGCAGTAGGTGTGGGAAAGGGAACAGGCTGAGGGAGAAGGAATGGTGTTTGGTTTGCGATGCAAGGTACTGTAGCAATTGTTTGCTTAAGGCCATGGGATCGATGCCTGAGGGCAGGAAATGCGTTGGCTGCATCGGCCAGCCCATTGACGAGTCCAAGAGGTCTAGTCTGGGAAAGTGCTCAAGGCTTTTGTCGAGATTGTGTAGTCCATTGGAGGTCAGACAGATAATGAAGGCGGAGAGGGAATGCCCCGCCAATCAGCTGAGGCCGGAGCAGTTGATTGTGAATGGGAGGCAACTGAGGCAAGATGAGCTGTCAGAGATTTTAGGCTGTCCGTTGCCTCCCCAGAAGCTAAAGCCCGGCAGGTATTGGTACGATAAGGATTCTGGACTGTGGGGAAAGGTGAAAACAATACGCTCTATTTTGTTCAAATGTGGAATTATACTTTTGATCTTCATTTCTATTCTGCTATGTTGCTATTTCTCTTCCTGAACTTTGTGCTTTTAAATTGAATTTCAGGAGGGAGAGAAGCCTGATAAGATTATCAGTTCCAAACTGAATGTTGGGGGCAAGCTTCGGGTTGATGCCAGCAATGGCAACACAAAGGTGTACATAAATGGCCGTGAAATCACTAAGATTGAACTTAGAATGCTCAAGGTAATTATTCATTTCTTTCTTTGTTACTTATTCTATTTTTAGCTTTCACAATTATCTATCTTACCCATATGGTAAATTACAGGAAGCGATAATCTGCAAACACCACATTTGTTAATCTGATGGATTTGGAAAGGTCTAAAGCCATTAATGGCTAGTTAGAATTGCTTACATCCACCCTCCAAAAGCTTATTTGGTGATAAATTTAAATGTCTCAAAATAGTAATTGGTACTACTTGAAAGAACAAGCAACAGGCTTCGTGATGCTATGTGAAAACTTTGTTAGAACTTTTGGCAGTATTAGATTATTAATCCATTTACATTCAATCCTCTGTTCTGGATTTTGTTATGTTGATGATACAGGAGTTGGTAATACGTGTGTCTCACTTGTGATACATTTATCTGATGCTTAACCCATTTTCTGCATCATCTTTTTTCTTTTTCCTTTTCTGTTTTTCATTTGTTATACATTTAAATGTGCGTTGCAAGTTGTTGCTGCTTCATTTAACAACTTACTGGTTATATTCAAATGTTTGTTCTTTGCATAGAAGTCATGAAGAATGATGCAGATCATGTTGTATAACTGGTTAATTCTATCAAATTAAACTTTGCAATAAATGTTTACTTGACTAAATTACTTTAGAAAACGTCAGCATAAGCAGTCTAGCCTCTCCTCTACCATATTAGTCACCTGTTTGTTGGCTAAAATTGCGCTTTTTTAGTAAAATCTTGCTTGTGTCTGAATTTATATCCTAATGCATGCACGTGTCCAACATGTTAGAACGTAAATAATGATAGAGGCAGATAATTTCTATCTACTTGAGCTTTCGTATAACAACTACCAAGCACAATCTTCTCGTATGTCAGAGAACATGGGTTGAGTTTAAACTTTGGCAATCTCACCCCCTATTATTACTATTCGCATCGATTTGCCTATGTTGTGCTCATGAGCCTCATCCACTATTTTATTTTTATCCATTTTTGGACTTTAAACCATTGTGTAAAGCCTTCACTTTTTCATTCTATCCATTTTGGCCTTTGAACCATTGTGTAAGACTTCACTTTTTCACTCTATCCATTCTATCATTGTGTAAAGCTATCAATGTCCTTTTGGCTTGCACTCTGTTGTTTAATATGAGGCTGTTCTCTCTCCTTGAAGTTGAGTCCACGTATTAAGTATTGGTTAATACTCCTGTTCCTCAAAATTAAACTTCCACACATCATTTGGGTTGATATCACTTGTTAAGCTCAATATCCTGCTTGGAGGTGATTGGCTATGAGTCTATATTTTAAGCATTAACTTGCATTTCTTTTTTTTCATTATCAATTTTTTATAACTTTGTTGCTTGTGGCCATCTTTAGCTCAATATCCAACTTGAATGTGAGGGGATGCCTTTATCTACTTTGCCAAGGGATTGAATCATTATTTTGTCTTAAGGCATTTTGCTTTCATCTTTGCATTTTTTAGGTTTTCTTTTCTTGTGGTTGAAGTATATTTTCTACTATCCTTCTCATTCATCCCTTTCTCTTTAATAAAGATTCTTTTATTCCCAAAAGAAGATGATGAAGTTGGGTGATTTTTTATATGTTGTAAGTTTTTGAGTTTTAAAATTTGACTTTCTTTTTGCCTCTTTCAGCTGGCCAATGTCCAGTGCCCACGAGATACTCATTTTTGGGTGTATGATGATGGATCTTACGAGGAAGAAGGTCAAAACAACATTAGGGGGAACATATGGGGAAAGGTTGTCCTACAACCTCATAATGCTAAATATGTTCTTCCAATTTTAATTTGGCATGTGAATAAACTGTTTTATATTGGATTTTTATTCAGTTGCAGTTTAATTTTTGGTAGGCAGGTGTCTACTCGTTTCATTTGCTCCTTATTTTCATTGCCTGTACCACCTGCAACCTCTGGGTCAAAAGAAGATCCAACTGCTTTTTCAAGCAGGTCAATGGCTGAGTATTTGGAACAGGGAAGGGTTCAGAAGCTTCTTCTATTTGGACTGGAAGGATCTGGGACTAGCACTCTCTTCAAGCAGGTATTTTCCTGCTTCACTGCTCTTACATAGAATTCACATCTTTGTGATGTTACAAGCACAGACTTCAGATACTTGATAACCTTACTAGAAATTTCTAATGTTAGGCTGTTAGCTTTGATTCTTTGAATATACTTGACAATGTTTCCTTTGTATATCACCCTTGTATATCACCATTCACTTAATGAGTCTGTAATATTTTCTGTTCTTGCGCCAACTAGGTCAAGTTTTTATATGGGAACAAGTTCACTCCAGAAGAACTTCAGAATCTCAAGCTTATGATACAAAGTAACATGTACAGATACCTTAGCATATTGCTTGAAGGACGAGAAAGATTTGAAGAGGAGGCTTTGGCGGAGAGCAGAACTATTATGGATGGTGAGGGCTCTGCCTCAGGTACTGTCTTCTTATTTTCCTTTGTTGTTCAATGTTCCCATTCTGTATTAGCATTTTACTTTTTTGTTCATCAAGCAATTAGTTGGCTTTGTGCTGCAAATTTAGACCATAGGTTATTTCTCTAGTTCTATATAATAGTAACTGAGAATTATTTATAATCTATGCATAGATTGTATTGCTGGTAATTATTTCAATCAAGCAATTATTTCAAAAAAAGTAATGCTGGTAAGCTTACTTATGCGATTATGGAACCTCAGCCTCCCTTTGATGGAGTTAAGTCTGTATGCCTCTTTTGATTATATTGTAGTATTGATGTCTCCTTTCAGAATTTTTTAAGATAACTCTACCCTAGAAGCTTAGGAGGTCACTGTTCATTATAGTTTCCTACTTCTCACTACTGTCTTCTTTGAAGAGGAAGACTACAATGAAAAGAACGGCTAACCAACTGTGGATATTTCCTCATGTTCTTTTCCCTCCCAAAAGATGGAAGTGGCTTCCTGCTGCTTCCTCTCTTTTTGTTCCACTTTTTTGCCTCCAGGAAAAGTCCTGCTTTTTTTTTTTCATAGATCTAAGGGGACATCATGTGGTCACATAAGTTTAAAGTTACTCCCTTTTCTTGGTTGCTTCTCTTTTTCTTCTCCTAGCACATCTGCCCTGGTTGCTCCTTTTCCTCTCTCTAACCAGCCTATGAACTAAATCATGATATGCACTGAGAACGATGAGAGATATCGCATAGTGCTTGCGAATAAATAAATTGAATAGACATTTTGGATGTCTATTCAATTTTCTAGAGCTTTGTATTTTTAACTGATTGCAATACAAATCAGATGAAACGGAAGATGATGGAGATAAGCAATGCATCTATTCAATTAACCAAAGGTTCAAGCACTTCTCTGATTGGTTACTGGATATTATGGCTACCGGAGACTTGGATGCATTCTTTCCTGCAGCAACGCGTGAATATGCACCTGTAGTGGATGAGGTCTGGAAGGCTCCTGCCATACAGGAAACCTATAAGAGAAGAGAGGAGTTGCATAACCTCCCCGATGTTGCCAAATATTTCTTAGATCAGGTACATATCTGTAATCTTTCTCCTGCTTCCACTACAATCATATACTCTACTGCTGTCTCCTTTTATTTCTTTTTATTGTATCTTTCATCTGCTACATATGGGTAAATTTTGAAGCCAAATATGCTTCAACCTAAGTGTGAAGGTCTTCAAAATTTCGTATTCGGATTGTGCTTTTGCTTGTTATTGAGTTAACAAGTGGTTTTTAGGTTCCAGAATTTCTGCTTTCTTGAGTTATTGTCTTATCACGTCCTCTTATTTGGAAGAATGTGATACGTCTTTTAAGAATGAGAAGATAGAGATCTCCTTTTTAATATGTACATATTTGATGGAGTGACAACTTGTCAAGCGAAAACAAAAAACCCTTAAGAGAAAAATCCTATCAGAATACTTTTGTCAAATAGATCGATCTCTCTCTCAAAGGGAATTTTTTTTTTCGGTTGAAAATCTAAGAGCATGCAATATTTACCAGCATATGGAATCTATTATTATTGCTATTATTTCTTAGGACCATTTGAAAATTTGGTAATTACTTGTAGGGGTTATTTTCTTAATTTTTACCTCAAATTGCTTAGGACCATGTATTGTTAACATATTAGTTACTAAAATTAAAAGAAATAGTATTTCTTTAAAAAAAAAAAAAAAGAAATAGTATTGAGTTTTCTTCAAATTTCAATTATATGGAATAAAGAATATGACAAAAATAGAATAAAAAATTGAATAAAAATAGTATCTGATTCCAAATTAATTCAGTCTACAATTTAAGTTAGGTGTTTTTGTAATTATCTCCTTGACAGTTGGAAATACAAAATCTATAGTTGTAAATTGAAGAGATAAATGAAGATGTTTAATTATGATTGAAATATGTAAATTATATTAAACTTCTAGGTATCAAAAATGGGATGAGAATGGAATAGGTCTGAGCCAAATGCAACGTAAGAGTTTATGCTCATTCTGCATACACATGTATGAACAAATTAGGTAAAATGCAATATCTAACAAGTTGGATTTATTTAGATCTAGTATATCCATTAAAAGCTCCAGCGAAAACTCAAACACAAGGACAACAGTCAAGCATGAAATACCGATCTCTTATTTATTATAGATTGTCTTTATCTACATACAATATTTTATTTGTCATTCATTCAATAGCTAAGACTCAGTTGGAAGTTCAGGTTGCTCTTGTACCATTTACAAATTGATTTGTAAGTTGATTAGAGCAGGTGAGGGCATGGGCTATGTTACATTTTACGTTCAAAAGTGGATTCTTCCAATAGTTTCTGAATCATTGGTTAGGGTGAGATTCAATATTAGGTTTTGCCAACTTTAGCAGGTTGGCTAGCATCTTTTGATATTTTTGTTTCAAGTTTCAGAAATATAAAACTACTAGATCAGGCAGGATTGTCTTTTTTATTTTTTTGCTTGTTATTGCTATTTTCTATTTCTTTTTAAGGGTTAAGGGATCGTATTTGGGGAATGTGGAGGAAGTATTCTGTGTTATTCCCTAGCATTGAACTCTCAGATAAGGATATCCTCTGCCAGCTTTTTTATTTTGTATTGTTTCATTCAGGCTGTTGATATATCAAGCAATGAGTATGAGCCTTCTGAGAAGGATATTCTATATGCTGAGGGAGTCACTCCAAGCAATGGTCTTGCTTTTGTTGATTTCTGCTTTGATGACAGAAGCCCCATGTCAGAATTATTCAATGAGAATTCGGAGTGCCCGCCTCCTTTAACCAAGTAACTATACCTTTCTCCTTTTTCCTTTAACTGTGTCCTCACCAGCATGTAGCCATGGTTTTTCTTGGTGATACCAAGGACAATCTATTATATGTTTGTTGATGATTTCCCTTTTGCTGTAGGTACCAGCTAATACGCATAAATTCCAAGGGATTGCATGATGGCTGCAAATGGCTGGCAATGTTTGAAGATGTTAGGGCAGTGATATTCTGTGTTGCCTTGAGTGATTATGACCAGACATACGTGCAGGGTAATGGTTTTGTTTCCAACAAAATGCTGGCAAGCAGAGATATGTTTGAGGGTCTTGTGAAGCATCCGTGTTTCCAGGACACCCCATTTGTGCTTTTGCTGAACAAATACGATAGTTTCGAAGAGAAGGTAAACCGGGTGCCACTATCCAGTTGCGACTGGTTCAAGGAATTCAGCCCTCTGAAGCCCAACCAAAATAACCAGAATCTGGCACAGCAAGCATATTTTTACATAGCAATGAAATTCAAGGAGCTTTATTCTTCAATAACTCGCCAAAAGTTGTTTGTCTGGCAGACCCGAGCTCGAGTGCGTGCATCTGTGGACGAGGCTTTCAAGTACATAAGGGAGGTGCTGAAGTGGGATGAAGAGAAGGATGAAAACATGTATGATATTGCTGGGGACGATTCATTTTACAGTACGGAAGTGAGTTCCTCCCCGTATATTAGGCAGGAATGAGTAAACTCTCTATGCGCCCGCCCCTGTATAGCGCTGGTTCCTGGGGGCAGGTTCAATGTTGGTGACATCTAACTTTTGAGAATTGAGTTCATTCTAGGGTTTGAATTCAAACTTTGGATTAATGTCGAGGTTTAATGATTAATTGGTTCAGATATGTGAGTTTTCAAAATTTTTTTTTTTTTTTTTTTGGAGGGTGATTTTTCCACGTGTATAGATACAACATCTGTTCAACATAAATAAACATGTCATTTTGAGATTGCAAGTCAGGAAGTTTGAATAACTATTTTAATATTTTATGAGGTATGTTAAAAATGTATCTTACCAAGTCTTATCTCACTAATATAATTGCTTTTATTTTAAATATTTATATAATTTGTCGATGGGTAACCAAAAACTATTGATTTGGTCTTTCTCCTCATACATATCATTTTCATTATTGTGTATGTTTTCCTATTTATAATCTAAACCAAATTAGTTTACTATATATGTATGTATATATATATATATATATATTTATAGTGCTCCAATGATGCTTTACACGATGTGGGTAGCAATAATTACGCAACAAAATGATAGCTTTACATGTTTTTTGTCGTAAGAAATATAAGACTCGATGTTTGCATGCAACACATTGAATATTATTTATAAAGTCACATTTTTTTTTTTAATCTTTAAATGAAGTATAATTACTACAATTATCTTATAATTTGAACTTAACCTATTTTTTTAGATAAACATTCGATTTGCAATCTTTAGCAAATCTTTCTTCTTTTGGTAATAATAATTCGTAAGCCTAATTGACCATAACCAAAAAAGTTATATTACAAAGTGTTTAAACTACACTATCTTCCTTGTTTGAATTAGAAAGAGAGTGAATAAATAAAAATATTAATTAATTAATAAAATTTCATAAATGTAATTTTACAAAATAATTAATAAAAATATATTAAATAATATTCTTTCAATTTAAAATGTCTGATTAATTTTGATAATATTCAAGAAAAATAAATAAATAAATAAATAAATAAAACCATGACTGGGACATTTCTCTCAATCTATTCATTCAACGGTCAATATTCAAACTCCTACTAATTAAACTCCTCCTCCTCCTCCTCCTCTTCTTCTAACCTCATGATGAGTCAGTCATCAGTCGTATTTTATTTTCTAACATGTAAAAGATATGACTTGATTCTCCCATTGATTCTTTCTTCATTTAATCTCTACTTGTTTAACAAGCTCATCCTACCAAGACTTTCAACGCCCATCCTTGACACCTGTAGCTACTTCAATTTTCTGATACATTAACCGTAAATACATATATATATATGCACACACACAAACACACAGGTATATGCATAATATGTAATCAATACCACCCAAAAAAAAAACCAGTACCTAAAAACTCCTCTCTCCATTCTTTCCTTTGATTTTAGTGGGTGTTCTGGCAAACATGCCTTTTAGTTGGGGAAGAAGAAAGGCAAAATCTGAAAATGCAGCAAAAAAGAATCTGCTAAATCTGAAGATGGATCAGCTAAATATTCCCACTCATTTTCTTTGTCCAATATCCCTTGATCTCATGAAAGATCCTGTTACCCTCTCCTCTGGTATAACCTACGATCGGAAAAGCATAGAGAAGTGGCTTGAAGAAGGGAACTTCACCTGCCCTGTTACTAACCAGGTGTTAAAGAGCTATGATCAGATACCTAATCATAGCTTGAGGGTGATGATTCAAGAATGGTGTGTGGAGAATAAAAGCTTTGGGATCGAACGGATACCCACTCCGAAAATACCCGTTTCAGAGTTTGAAGCGTCGGAGGTGCTTGTAAAAATTACTGAGTTGACCCGGCAGTCGGATCGACGGCTCTGCTTAGATTTGGTGAAGAATACGAAAAAATGGGTTGGTGAAAGCGAGAGAAATCGGCGCTGTATTGTCGCTAATGGAGGTGCTGGTGTTTTGGCTAGAACGTTTGATACATTTGCGGGGGAGAATTAGAGTTCTTTTGAAAGGAACCAAAACTTGCTGGACAAAATTTTATGTGTTCTAAATTATATGTTTCCACTTGACATGGAAGCCAGGATTTCATTGGGTTCAGTGAGTTCTTTACGTTGCATGGTTTGGTTTTTGAACCAGAAAGATTTTGAAGCCAAACAGAAATCTTTATTCACACTTAAAGAGCTTATTTATTCTGACCAACGATTTGTACAACCTCTGGCAGCCATTGAAGGAGTTAAAGAAACTCTGTTTCAGTTCATCAACAAACCCATTTCCCCTGCTATCACAAGGTCCTCACTAATGGTGATTTTCAACTTGGTATCTGCAAATTATGATAATCGGGGGAAGACCCAGGTATCATTTGTGAAGATGGGTATGATTCCAGTGCTAATTAATCTCATAATCGACTGTGAAAGGAGCATAAGCGAGAAGGCATTAGGAGTTCTTGATATGCTCTGTGATAGTAAAGAAGGGAGAGAAGAAGCCTGCAAGAACGCTTTGGTTATACCAGTTTTGGTGAAGAAGATTCTAAGGGTATCTGAGATGGCGAGTGAGTATTCAGTTTCTGCGATTTGGAAGCTGAGGAAGGAGGAAGGTGGGAGAGTTTTGGTTGAAGCTGTTAAAGTTGGAGCTTTTCAGAAGTTGCTGGTGGTTTTACAGGTTGGGTGTGGTTATGGGACGAAGAAGAAAGCGACTGAGCTTTTGAAGATCTTGAATCTCTACAGGGCCGAGTTCGAGTGCATTGAGTCAATTGATTTCAAGGGAGTGAAGAGATCTTTTTGAAACATATATGTGTATATATATATATATATATATATTTTTTTTTTTTTTTGGTTTCATTTTTTCATTCATTTTGTTGTGTAATTTTATACTAAAATTCTAAATCTTGGGTTTTATTTGGAATATATAAATCATACAAAAGTTGATAACTTTATATATACACACACGTAAACAATTTCCTCTAGAGGAACATTTCTAAATGTTGACATACGTAGATGTATTATGATATTTAACCTTGAAAAGTACTTATTAGAAACAAATAACTAATAATTTTAGAATATTTTTAAACTTATATTATATTTTTGCTTTCTCATTTTCTAATTTTATGATATTTTAAATGATTAAGACATAAATATTTACATATGGAATCTATTTATACATGTTAAAATTTCTTTTGACATGAAAATATCTCTAAAGACTTTATGGCATAACCTAAAATACCATTTATATTATGAGACGGATTAATTATATAATTAATAGTGGAATACTAAAAAGTAAAATTGAGTTCTTGAGTAACTTAAGGATCATATGTTTAAAACTAACTTTTTTTAAAAACTAGATAATATTATCTAATTTGATTAAAACTATATAATATTAGAAAATAACTTTTATTCGTTAAATAAAAAATTTATATAATTTATTAATTAAGTAATTATTAATATATAACATAGTTTTTAAATTTAAACTTATATGTTTTATAAAAGCAGGTAAAAGTATGTCCACGATCAATTTGAATAATGATTTATTAAAAAAACTATATCATATATTTTATACACGTTGTTAATGTGAATATGGTAGAGATGATTTTAGGTTATTTTAAACGTTGTCCATGTGACAATTCATGTGATTCAATTTAATTAGAAGCTGTAAAAATACCATGGACTTCACGTGCTTAATTTAATTGAACAAATAAATTCATAAAAAGATTCACAATGTGAAATCATCCCTTAATTAATTAATTAATTCTTTTGACTCTCCTACAAAATACTATAGAATTGTTTGTAAAATATTGGGTTTAAGAAGATCATCTCAAAAATAAGATCACAAAATATTTAAAATAATTTAATTAAATATTGTCCAAAATTAAATAAAAATATATTTTCTGATATATTTAAAATTCTCACTAGCAGAATGTTTTAAATAAAAATAAAAAATGGGCCCAAAAGCCCATTAAATTTCTTTCTTACGACTTGACCCACCAGGTCCAGGTGGCTATGCCTCTTCAACTTTCCAGAACAGTCAACAACTTCACTTACACACACACACTATATATATATTCTACTGGATTGCACTGCAGTTCCTTGAAAGCCACCCATATTTTTATACAATTTTCTAGTATTTTATAACTGTTGAATTACAGTACAGCATTAACTATTGAATTCTTTCAGTTCAAATTTCTTATATTCTTATTTTACTTGAATAAATAGGAAGTAGTTTAACTCTGAATTCAATTCAAACACTCAAAAGAAGTGGCCGTCAAAGAAGACAAAAAAAAAAAAGTTAAAACAAACTCTGAATTCATGTCTAAGTTTCTCTTTGAACAAATAAAATCCAACAACAGCCAAAATCTATAATAGTGACATGGGGACAGATGGGCATGGAATGCAAAATGCAAGTCTGTGACATGACTCGTCACACTAACTTGGGCTAAAGATACCAGCTTCCCTTAGAAATTAAGAAAACTACTTATATCTGATTCAGTTGATTCCAGCTTTCCTTCATGGGAAAGCTTACTACTGCTCCTTGTACCTCTTCTCAACTTCCTCCAAACTATGAATCTGCTTCTGATACTTACAGATGCGGTAGATACACCTGTCAAAGCATTCAAAATCACAAAGAAAATATTGATTGTACGATAAACTGCATAAACATAGACTCCAAACAAGGTTCTTCAACCAATTTACCAATACAGAAGGCACGCAGAAGCACATAAGACCACATTTCTTTGAGCCTTGTAGATCTGCAAAATAAAGAAGCAAAATCTCAAGTCAAATAACTCGTGGGAGTGAAGAGGAAATTCTTTAAACAGTTGAACTCGCATTTTTCTATGGGATATTCAACCCCGTTGGACAGGAACCTGAAATATATGACTTTGTTGCAGCTTCTTATATTATATTACAACAGTAAAATTTTATGTGGTTCTCTTTACACTAATATTCCTTTTTCCTTCGGGATAAGGATGAACACTTCCTGAAGCCTGAATCCAAGGAATCCCAAGAGTGCTGGGTGGTACTACAGACTGGTGAACCACACAGGCCAAGGTCTGGTAAATTAGCAACTAAAGAAGCAGTTTCTAACCTCTTGATAAGTCTCTTTTTGTCTGAACAAGATCATAAAAAATTTCCAAAGAAGACCCTTTCATGTAACTCCAAAATTTTGTTGCACATCTCTTGTAACTATTAGCACATTAATATTCTAATTAGAGACAAGTTCTACGTGATACACAATACCCAGGCTAAAACTTCTTAGAGGTGATATACACTACCTAGCAATTAAATGATGACAGGTAAACCATGCTAACCATAAATCTGAAAAAGAAAGTATTTTCTATGGATACAGAATATTGATAATTGTTCTATATATTCAATTCACACCTTAAACAAATGCAGGACTTCCAAACTTTTACATCAAACCAAATAAAAATAAAGAAAAATGAAGTAGAAGAGAAAAGAATCTTAATTCATTCTGGAAACAAAGTCTGGGTACTCTGATACGGACCAAAATTTAAGGAACACAATAGTTTCGGCTCAGATTCTTGCTGCAGTTATATTAATAATGTATAGAAATCAGCAAGACAGAAGATAGATAAAACTGCTTTGAGACATAATACTTGGAGATCCTACCAAGTAAAAAATATATAACGTATCAAAGAAACACTTGGTCCATTATAAGGTAACTGCTAATCTCCAGATAGAAGTAGGAAGTCACACAGGAAGAGAAAAATCAGGAGATAAACAAGATGTCTTCACGTGTTCTTGATCCGTTATCCTTTTTCTCTATGGAAAAAGCAATAACTTCCATTAAAATGTAAGGTATTAGTATTGTTAAACTTCATAGATGCAAAATACTTACGTTACTTGCTGCTTGCTCAAACAGAGTCTCAACCTAATTTACTGTTCAATGCTGTTAGATGGCAAGGTAACATCCATAGAAATCATCTTTTTCTATTAGGAAAAATAATTGAACTTACTAAACTCTTACTTCACATGTCCTCCTACTTCAGCTCTCTATAATGAAGTTCGAATAGCTGTTTGGGACTGTCCCATATTTCACCAGAAGCATTTTATTTGGTACAACCATGAACATATTAGTAGTTTGATTAACCTAACTTTTTTCAATTCAGTAACTAATTTTTCAATTTACTAAAGTATTTCTTAAAATTGTTCTATGTCATGAAAAATGTAATTGCTTGCCCCAGTGTCAGAGGAACTAAGGACAGAGCAAAAGAACTCCTTATTTGACTGATAATGCACGACAAGATGCCCTTTCTAACTTGACCGAGACATCCTCATAGTACCTCAACATGAATTGAAATGGAGGCAAGGACGATAAGGACTAATTCCACCCCTCTTGAATCCACTTAGTTCCCTAAATTCATGTAAATCACAAAGGTGCACAAAAATAAAAAAGCACTTGCTATTGTCTTTGCAAAATATTTATTGATAATGGATAACTTAGTTAGCCTTTCATTTCCAAAATGTCCTTCTGATGCCTAATAATTTCCTTCAGCCTAAACCACATCAAATATCAGAAAAGACCTTCATAGTTTACACATATCCATTAAGGTTATGCTTGGAACAACTCAAGCACTTCTGTGGAATTCATTACGAATTTCTTAAATTTAATTTAAGTCGGAGGTAAGAAAAATTAATTAGAAGGTGATAAAAAATAATCACCTAGTGAAATTAGAATAATTCATTATAAATTTTATTAAAATTTACCAAAGTCTAAAATGTATCATTTCAATTCCCCTAAAATTACATAAGCCCAATTATTTCAAATGGAATTTCACCATTGAAACTAGATGCGGATTCTCATATGAAATTGAAACAAAATGTTTCTTTTCCAGACATGGTCTGAACTGGTGATCCATTTGTGAGATAGATTTTTAAGTTCATTAAGCAAATTTTCAATAAACACTCTTAAAATTTTAATCAACATTAGTACCACAATCCCTCTCAGAAAAAAAAAATAAAAAAATTATAGAGTGAATCAAATTGATTGCTCAACTTTCCTCAATTTAACCCTAAAAAAAACGTATAATTGCAGTTCATACTCACAGATTTCTCATAACGATCTCTTTCAGTAGCTGTGCAGGCCTCAGAGGTACACATCAAGCGGTGCTCATTCTTCCAGTAGATATCTGCATTCGACCACCAACACCACAAGTCATTAGAAACCTTATCCCAAATCAATGAGAAGTTTCGTAACGGAACACCCCTACATACCTACACCCTAATGAAATTACCAATCAAACGAATCGCGACTGGAGCAAAATGGAAAGCCAAAACAATCGAAAAGTCATGAAACCAAAAACAAAAATCGAAGAATGCTGAGAGAGAAAGAGAAACCTAGAAGCTGGAACCCAGCAAAGGGGACTATGAAAAGAGCAGGCTGGAGAACAAGAGCGACGAGTGAGACCAATCGGTTCTTCAAGAGCTTCGGCGAGGGAAGAGTCAAGAGGATCGCTACTGCTGCCTCAGCAGCTACCACGTATGTCAAAATCATCCACTGCAACGCCATTTCGCTTCCTCCCTGAATCAATCAATCACTCGATCCTTTCTCCCGACACTAATTTTGCTTTATGCTTTAACGACGCTCTTCGTTTTCTCGTTGCGAGTGTTCAAACCCGGTGCTCTCTCTGGTACCTGACTTAATGACGAAGGCACGAGAAGCATTTTTTTTTTTAAGTGGAAATAATTATTTTTTTAAATCAAGAATTGAAATAAAAAATAATTATTATTTGTTCATAGGTTAGGTAGTGTTACTTAAAACAAGATTAATTATAAATTGATATTTAATAAATTACTATTTGTTTGTTAATTTTCATATATAATTATAGTTTATAAATTTGATTTGTACATTTTAAATCTTATTGATTTTATTATTTATTATTTAATTAACTACAATAATTTGATAAAAAAATCCACTCTATATACGTCCAATCTCTCAAGTTTGATTTTGAATCATCAAACATACGTAAACAATATATAAATAGCAATGTAAAATTATAAATTATTTATAATAAATATTAAATTTTATTTTATTTAATTAAAAATTAAATATTTTATTAATTAAATAATACGTTAACAATAATTATAATAATTTTTTTAATAAATAACACATTAAAATATATAATTCCATTTAAATTTGTAAAATATTACCAATATATAACCAAAAAAATTATTTATTTATTTATCCTATTTTATTTCAACACCTCGTTTATATTACGAAATTCATTAGCTGGGCAGATGGACCGACCAGCTACTTTAGCTGGAATATTAAAAGCTAGGAGAATGACATATTCCTACTCACTGTAAGTAACCAAATTACACTATAAGAAATTTAACAGAAAAAAAGTAATTATGACATTAATAATTTGAGATTAACAGCGTGAAACACTAGCATTCCGCTTATCACAATTATAATTAATCTTAATTAACAAATTAAGATTTTTAAAAAGCAAAATTATAGGCTTTAACGAAAACAAATTCCTTGGGATGCTCGTCACGCAAGACTAGTTTCCTATTCGAATCAACACCCACTTCACTGCAACCAACGTGTAGATGAGAATTGCAGAATCTGAACTTGTAGAAAAGACTTACGTACAGAACCCTCTCGATCTCGAACATACTGTTTTCAGCTTCTTGGACTCCATTAATGGTTACAGTTCGGTCCTCGTTTACCTTCCAAACAGTCGTCGTCTTCTTCTTGCAGTTTAAATGAGCATCGAATATGATGTTTAACTCGGTAGATTCATGGATAATGTCGTCGGGAACTTGTTCAACTGGTGAAAATTTTACTGGGATTCCATAATCTGAGTCGGATGGTAAGTGAACCACGCTGAGTGGGCAGACCGAGTTGTTCTGAGTTGGGAGTAGAGAAACTCCTCCACCACCTAACCCCCAGAAAGCTGAGAGAACATAATAATCCACCCCACTGCGAAGTGGGTCGCCGTCATAGTCAAGTATTGGAATTGCTTCTGCAAAAAATGGCTGAAAGAAGAAGAAGAAGAAGAAGAAGAAGGGAAGTAGTACTGTAGTAATCTTCATTGTTTTTTCCCCAAGGTTTAGCTTTTTCGCTTCTTGGAGATCTTTTATAATGTGTGGAAGTCAATAAAAGTTGTTTTCTTTTAAAGTTTTATTATTTTTTTAATAAAAATGGAAACTTTATCATTTTTCATTTTTTTATATATAAATATCTTCTTCGAAAAAATCAAGACTGTTTTTTAATTTAAAAGACAGTTTATTAGAGAATAATTATATTCTAATTACATACCAAACTGGGTACAATACTTTTCTAGTTCTTCTTTTTTAATACTGAAATATTACTTTTATTAATAGTTGTATAAAAATATATATATATATATATACTGAACAGTTCATACATTTCGTTAATATATTAACCGAAAATATATATTTATAAACCACAAACTCGGAGAAGAAGAAGAAGAAGAAGATGGCTATTACATGCACGAACAATTACATTCCCCATCGTTTAACGGAAGGACTATTAACTCGGACAAACGAAACCTCAAACTTTGTCTTCTCCTCCACAACCTGCGCACGTCTAATTCCATTATCAATAAAAATATCAAGTTCACCTCGAGGAACTCCAGGGGGAATTCGAACACTCGGATCAAAAACCAATTTATAGTAACCAGATTCAGTGCTGTTAATCTTGAACAAGCTCAGCTCAGATCCCAAATAATGTATCTCATCTTTCCGGCTTTCATGTCCACCATCCGTCACCAAAAATTTCCCCGACGTCCCACCAAACCGGCTAACTTTCCACACAGTCGATTCGCCGCATTTGGTCTTGTTGATGAACTTAATGTTTATGTCTGTTGATTGTCGGACAACGCCGTCTTTGGTTCGCACGTACTGCGAGAATATTACCGGCCGGCCGGTGTCTATGTTGCACCGGTCTTGTGCGACGGTGAGTTGACAGGGTTTGGTATCAGATCCGCGAAACGTTAATCCACCTCCGAGAAGCTGTAGAACACTCGGGATGATGTAGTAGGTGGGACCGACGCGAACTTCATTGCCGTCGATGTCTAATACAACGTCGGATTCGGCGCTGTGCAAAGGTTTGGTTGTGAAGGTTAAGATGAAGAAGAGGAGAGAGAGCAAGGAGATCTTCATTGTTTTGATTTCTGTCTGTATGTGGGTCTTTCAAGTATGTGTATAATATTTAAAACCCATGTATGAATTCGACGGAGAAGTACCTGTATATATATATATATACCTGTAATGTATGTACTGTTTGTTTGATGTGATACGCCGAGTTACACACTGTAATTTACCACCAGTAAAACTTATAAGATAAGAAGAAATGAAATATTATTATGATTGAATTGTGCATGATGAAGTTCAAAGTATCTGGGCATGCTCTCATATTCGGGAATGCTCTTCTATATGATGCTCTCTTACTTATTATTATCTTTTTAAAAGAGTTACTACTAATAGTTTTTTTTTTTATTTTTACTACAAAAAAGGAAAAAAAAAAGTAAAAATTGTACTTATTAGTGTTAGATTAAACGAGTACACGTAATATGATAGTCGTTCAAGTACAAACAGATACGAAGATTTAAAGGGACTTCAATTAAAATTGAGCAACCAATAAATACGGGCTAAAATATATTTTTAGTTTCTATATTATTTATTTTTATTCAATTTGGTCACTATCTTAATTTTAAGTTATATTAATCATTATATTTAGTCTCTTTATTTATTAACCTTTAACATAATTAACATTTGATGATACGTGTAAGTAACTTTCATATATAACATCTTTTGGATGACCATTGATCAAATATCAAATGTCATGTTGAATAAGACGTAGAAAAAATTTATACATAAATCGAATTAAACCAATCAAACATACAAAATTCTAAAAATATGTTTTAATCGATTCAACGCATTTTACCCACCCTTAATCCCTAATCCCAATCTCTCTTCCTTCTCTATCTTTTCTTCTCCAGGCTCATTCACATGAGCCAAGTTGTTGTTCAATATTGGTACTAAAGCTTACAAAGTGATGAAGCAAGGAAGCGAAGCTTGCCTCTAAGAAGCTTTGCTACATGACCTCATGCTCTTGCATTACTTGTTTCATCATACCCTCAAAGAACTCCATCATCTTATCATCATCTACACTTTCTTGCTTTGAGTACTATGATGATCTTTTTTGTTTTTGATCGGTAGTCCAAACAGCACTAAATTGTTCACCAACAAAAAATTCATCATCTTTATTGTCGTTGTCATCATCATTCGAGCTTGGAGAAGATGAGGAGTTGTTAGAGGAGAAATTGACACCAAATTAAACGAAGATAATAACTATTGTAAGTGGTGGAGCATGAGCAGAGCCAAAAACTGTGGCACGTTGAAAGACATGGATATTAGAGCAGCCGAAGAAGACATTAAAAGGGCATGAGGTGAAGTCATATGATATTTATAATTAGTTTTTTTATTTGTGAACCAATTTGAACTGGTTTATATAGAAATTTTTTAATATCAATGACATTTAATGTGACATTCAACTTGTATTATATCAATCAGAAACTACCACATGTTAATAAATTCAATACATAACATCTAAGTTAACGGTGTTATCATATACTAATGGAGATAGAATAATCAAATTTTAAAAAAAAAAATATAGGGATTAGTTTGAAATAAAATTGAGACAGAGGTCAAAGTGAACAAAAGTAAATAGTACATTAATCAAATTTGTATTTTAGCCAATGAAAACATGATGAACCCATTATACCAATTGATTACTACACGGATTACCCTCATAGTGAATATGAGAGAATTGAATGTCGGATATTTTTATACATTTTTATGAATGTACATTTTTGAGTTATTTGTTATTCTTCTTTTGGAAATTTTCAAATTATGTGTAAAGGCCCAATACTCAATAAAAAAGAAAATATTTAATTGATAAGATAATAGCGGAAGTAATTGAGAGTTTAGGATTTATATTTATTGCACAGTAAATTTGAAATACCCAATATGATTATGAAAATGTCCCTTTTTAAAAGTTAAAATAATAGAAATAAAAATATAACCATAATCCTATAAGGTTAACCTCTGTTGGACAACTTTTAGTCACAACATTCTTGTTGTTTATGATCCAGATCTTGATCTTTCTTATCTAAAATAGTTAAATAAGGTAGATGAACTACACTAACTTAGTAAGAACGCCAATACGTATAACCGATACAGAAAATCAAAGGTTGGTAAAACTCATAAAAGAACTAGTAGAGCCATTTTTTTTTTTTTTTAAATAAATTCATTTAATATAAAAACGTAAGTTTCATATCTACTCTTTTAAGTTCCCAAAATCAGAGTATGAAAGCAATAATCAAGATAAAAATTTATTACACATTTAAAGAATCAATAATAGTAAAACTTACTTTTTTACTTGTTTATTGATACCTATGGAGGTCCATAGAGGTCCCCCCTACACGTGGATACAATATCTAATTTATCAATTAACCGGTCGTCTCATACCCCATCTGGTAATTGACGTAAAATGTAACACCGTCTCAATACCCCGTCCAATATAAAGGTGAATAATGTTTCTTAACCCTTTTTAGTATGAGACTTCTCAGCCTTGTCCGACTAAGGTAATGTCCACATTAAGGTTTGCCCTATATACCGAATCCGTACACCATATTTCATGATATCCGGTAAGTATTTTATACACATTTGTATGTCATCAACCAACCACCAATTATACATAAATATTTCATATTTACAGATCTATGAAATGACATTTTGAACAGATAATATAAATTGATTATATAACAATTAAGAAAAACGTGATCATGATATTTATTTAAAATTAATCAACAAATGAGAATAACAGTTAAGCAATCAACAACGAGAGGGCAAATAAATATATGAATTACAGTGCATGCGGTAAGCAAACAAATATATTATAGTAATAAATAAACAATATAGGTGAAATAAGCAATTCATACTGACCGATTACCGGCTCCACTGGCGACCTGTATTTAATTAATTAAGGATTTCTAATATTTACAAATTATACCATTATTATTTATTAAACTTTAATTAACCTTAATAGGAGAAAAGAGTTAGAGATTCTTATTTCGAGTTGGTGTTCGAAATACTGTCTCTTTCACTACGCTTCCTGACAGTTCTCGGGTTTCCAGAGTATTTTTCTGCAAAAATTAAAAACACGCATAACATATTCTAAAATATCCCTAAAGGCCAAAAATAAGTATTTTTAATTTTTTCGGCCGGTTTAGGGTTCTGGCATAGTGACAACACTGTGCTCTAGTGTTGGCTCCACCGCTCACGGCGGCATCTCCTATTGGTTTGGCCATTTTCAATCGTTTTTGCACGAAAACCTGCAAAAAATAGGGTTAGGCAGCCTTTGTTGGCCGGAAAAGGGAAAACTCAAGGCATTACCAACAGATGAGTTTTTCAGTGTGGTAGCTCCGCCGTTCCTCTCTCATAGTTGGGGATTCTCTGCGATCGACCTGCACCAGAAAAGAGTTAGGGATGCAACAGTCAAAAGATCGAAGCGAATGGGAAACAGGAAAGGGCTCATGGGAGCAATTTTTGGGTTACGATCGCGGCGGCTCGGCCGAGTTCTACCCTTAGTTTTTGGATTTCCTTTTGCCTTTTGGCTTTGATATAAGTGTGAAGAGGCTTGAAATTGAATTTCGAATGAGGGGGGGGGGGGGTTACCTTTTCGGTGTCAATAGTGACTCTAGTGCAGCGGCGACGATGGTCGGTTTTCTTTTCAGCCACTCTTTTTCTTCTTCTCCAGTGAGGATATGTGAGCCTAGGGTTAGGGTTTACTGAGATGCGATGCTTAAATACACTCCCTCCAGCATCGATCTTGGTCGTTCATGCAGGGACACGTGACCCTCTCTCATATGTTGGATCGCACTTATTTAGGAAATAAATATAGATCGCATGATCGGATTAAATCTGGCCGTTCAATTGTATTTAAAGAGAGAATGGATCTGGGTTATCTGTGCGCACAGGAAGGGATTTGGACTATTGGACGCACTGTAGCTGGCTACGCTGCTGACATGGCAGTCCACGTGGCTAAATTTTTATTATTTTTATTTTTACCCTAGTTTTCTAGATTATATTCTAAATGGGTCCTCCCTTATTTCTACTTTGATCCTGATTTTTAAAAATATTTTCAAATGTATCTATAAACACAATTTAAAAAATTCAACAAAAAATTAAAATTAAAATTTTAAATTTATTTTATTATTATGATTTAATTATCTCGGGCCTAAATTCTTGATCGATGTGTTACAACTCTCTCCCTTAAATAAATTTGATCCCTCAAATTTATCACTCTCTCATTAGTAAAATATTTGAGGGTACTAGGCCTTGAAGTATGATTATAGCTCTTAAGTGGCCTCATCATTCGAGTAATTCTGCTATAAGATCTTGACGAAGGAAATTTCTCTGTTGCGAAGCATTCTGCTCTTCCGATCAAAAATACTAACTGGTACCTCCTTGTATGATAGATCCTCATGGAGTGGAAGTGACTAATAAGACATGACATATGAGGGGTCCAGGTTGTATTTGTGTAGCATAGATACATGCAATACATTATGGACTTTAGATAGTTCTGGAGGTAGTGCTAGTCTGTAGGTTGATGTTCCAACCCTATCCAAGATCTCAAACAGTTCGATGAACTGAGAGTTTAATTTTTTTTCTCTTTCTAAACTTGTTGATACCCTTAAAGGGGGTAACCTTAAGGAACACTTGATCGCCCTTCTCATATTCTAAATCTCTCCTTCGGGTATCCACATAATTTTTCTGCCTACTTTGGACTGTATGGATGTTCTTCCTGATTTTAACTATCTTCGTTCTAATCTCATTTAAAAGATCTAGGTCAATTAATTTTCTATCGCTCACCTCTTTCCAACTGACCGTTGATCTATAGGGTTGATCATACAATATCTCGTACGGAGCTATATCAATATTTGCTTAATAATTGTTATTGTAAGCGAGCTCTATTAGGAGTAGGTGATCATCCCAATGCCCTCCAAAGTCTATAACACAAACTCTGAGCACATCCTCTAGTGTACAAATGGTTCGTTCTGATTGTTCATCTGTTTGAGGGTGAAATGTTGTACAAAGAAACAGTTTCGTTCTCATTACTTGTTGAAAACTTGACCAAAATCGAGAGGTGAACTTAGGGTC